TTAAATTACAGTACTTAAAAGGAAATGTTACAAAACAGGACCATATAGAATGCCCCAACAGCCCCGATTCATTCCTTTTTCTGTTTTCTCTGAAGGCACAATTAATTTAACAACATTCTAGATTATAAAAGAAATTGCCCTTCTAGCAACATAACTAATACAATTGCTTACCAGATTATATCATATAAGAAAATTCAAAACTATGTAAGCAGTATATTAAAAACTTAAAACAGACCCAATAAAAAAATCTTTCTTTCTTTCTGGACCCCTTCACCAGGTCCAACAGTCTCCTGGGGCCACTCCCAACCCTATAGACTGGCTTTTTTTTTTCCTATTATCTATGCTAGCCCATCATTGTCTTTTACTGGTCTGATAGCCTCAGGCTACATCCATATTCCTGAATCGACCTCAATGCCACTCCTAATCAAGGCACTTCAAGGCTTAGACTTCCCCATGACCACTAGTCCCTGCCTTAGGAGCCTGGCCCATATGGCCCAGCCTCTAACAAACCCAGTTGTTAGCCTATAGAAGGCCTGGGTTAAAAAGAAAAATTTTTTTTAAATTTCTAATTGAAGCCCCTCATTAATTCCAAATCAATACACATCAATAAAATATGTTTGAACCACAGGGCATACATTATAAAATTATTTCCAAAATTGTGATAAACTTTGAAATAACCCATTATCAATTTAGATGAATGCACTCCCAAATCACTTTGCACAGAGAATCATTCATCTCATCATTAATATGTTGAAACTGTAACTTTAAACAACCATATATTTTTATAATAGTAAGATTTTAAATGAAAATCTGCTATCATAGTCTTATAACCAAATATATCTCACTAGGTATTTAACAATTCCAAACTATCTCATCTTTATCACTGAAAGACCCATTCCAGGTCAAGAGTTACCTTAATACCATTTCTACCTCACAATGGTCCCTCAAAGTTTACAATCTAAGAGTTTTAGAAATACAATACAATTTAGAAACATAATAATAACTTAAACAATAAACTTCAGATAACATCAATTGCATTTCCAGATTATCACATATAGAAATTATCGATCTTATTACTCTTAGTACTTTTCCACTTCTAACATATGCCACTATTTTAAGCATTTTACAATCATATCTTTTTTTTTTTGTCCCATAACTGCCATCCAAGGGTGGGGAACTTAAGAGCATATGGCTTAACTCAAAACAACCTATCCCCACCCAAATTACACTCACCAAGGCTGAGCAGCTTTGCTTGGCAATTCTGAAGGGAGATAATTGAATAGGACTCTTCCTCTCCCCCTCTCTCTTCCCAAACTGCTTTTACAACTTTATTATGCATTCTAAACAATTCACTGGTCTTGTTCTTCCCCTGTGAATAAGATACCTAATATAGCTACCATTCCTCCCCAAGATCAATAAGGTCCTCCCAGGGAGGAGCTAATCTTGGTGTCCTTGCCTGCTGACCCACATATCCCAAGGAGGACTGTTTTGAATGGGAAGTTCCTCCTTTTCACACAGCAATAAATTAACAGTTCTAGGTTTTAACATTACAACAGTAACTTCAAATAATTTAGTTAACAATCAAACTGTTTCAGCTATAACCCCTTCTTTAATTACAGGTAAACGTGGAAATACCTGGTTTTCTAAATGGCATTTATTGAATATTATAAGACAGGGTTAGCAGGGCCAACAAAGTAATATAACTGGCCTTACACAATTTTTCCACTGACCTTTAGCTTCTTTCAGTTTACTTTAATAACATCCGAATTATGAAAAGCCACTCAACATAACAATACAAAAGTTTACCAATTTGAAACAATGCTAGAGGTTTAAAACTTAAAATAGACACATTACCAATCAGGTGGCTCCAATTCTGTCCACAGTGTTTCCAACTGGTCGCATCTAATAAAGGAATAGTTGTTAACATTTTTAGTGCCTGCCTTCTGCTAGGCATTGTGTTAGGCACCTTCTAATCCTATGAGATAAACTGAGGTAACAAATTTCAGATCCTTACATTTTCCCAATTTACCTTAGTGCCAAATAGTGTAACAAATTCTGAAATTAAGAACATCACATTTCATTTAATATATTTACCAATTTGAATGAGTTGGGGCTTGTAGGGAAACATCACAGCCTCAGCAGCCATCGAACCCAGCCACCCCCAACAAGCCGCCCACCCTCAGCCCAGCCTCTGGCTGCCCACAAATTACCTTTTATTGTGTTCTGGTACACAAAAACTTTTCTCTTTTACATGAGGCAGAAAAGATTAGGTGCTACTCAATCTGCCTTTCTTTTTCATCTGAGGGGAAAAACAGTTATGTTGCTGGAAGGGCAATTTCTTTTATAATCTAGAATGTTGTTAAATTAATTGTGCCTTCAGAGAAAATAGAAAAAGGAATGAATCAGGGCTGTTGGGGCATTCTATATGGTCCTGTTCTGTAACATTTCCTTTTAAGTATTGTAATTTAAGAAATGAGAACTGAAACAGTTTGATTGTTAACTAAATTATTTGAAGTTACTGTTGTAATGTTAAAACCTAGAATTGTTAATTTATTGCTGTGTGAAAAGGAGCAACTGCCCATTCAAAACAGTCCTCCTTGGGATATGTGGGTCACCTTTTCATTTTTTTTTCTTTTCCAAAAGTTTCCAAACCTTTTACTCTCAAATCCTCTATTCACATTGTTAACACTCATTCACACCACAGACACAAACAGGAACACAAAACAGAAATACAACAAATTGCCATAGAATCCTCAAATCATCAAATCATATTTAATCATTTTCTTTTTATCTTTCCCTTTATATTTTGGTAGCTCGTCCCAATGATTAAGTCTAGATCTCAAGGGACTATCAGCTGGCACATCCGGTAACTTTTCCTTGTCTCCACCCGATTTTGAATTCGATTTCCCCATCCTCTTGGATGGCCGCTTTACCAACTCAAAGAGTCTAGGCGGGCTCATAGGGCTTCCCCTCACAAGACTTCAGTTCCCTCGGACGTCTAAAGGACCTCTCCACTTAAACTCCAGGGAACCTGGTCACCCAGAGGTTGCCATTCCAGGCTTGCAACACCTTACAGGCTTTCCTCTTAGGTTCCAAGCCCTCATGGTCCACTTACCTGGGCCTGTGCACACAAACTTACGTGACCAAAAATTTCTTTCATTTCACATGGGTGGCCAAGGTGGCCTTCTGATTACCGGTGTTGTAGGACTTTCATTTTGCTACTCTGAGATCTCCCTTCGGGTTTTCCCTCCTCAGGGGAGAATCCCAAATCAACTGAGACTTGGAAACCACCAGAAAGTCTGCTGCAGCACCTGCTCCAGAATTTGGGTTAGGGGAGTCCCTAAAAAGGCGATGATATCCCAGAAAGTCCCCAAAACTGTGTGTGGTATGAAGATCCTTACCAATAAATCAGAGACTCAGAGATATTAGCAAAAAGAATAATTCATTTATTGGCTTTCTCAAGAAAGGGCTCCCTCAGAGCACCCAAAACATGGCGCCAACCAAAGAGAGTGGGAGTGTGTTCAGCTCAGCAGATTATATAGATCCTAACCACAATCCCCCTGCCCACCCACTGGTTCTTCTTCCCATTGGCTGGGCTTCAGAGCTCACAGTCTAAGCCCAGAAATTTCTCCCTAACACCAAGGACAAAAAGGGCAAGAAACAGGGCCAACAACTAGGGAGGGGGCCTGAGGAGGGATAGAATCAGGGCGAACAGGATGTGGCTCTGTCACCTGATCTCATGACACTCTGCTTTCTCAGCGAGGCAGCTTCTGAGAAATGTAGGGAGGGGTCAGCTACACTGAGGGGGCTTCACTATTTCAGCATTCCATTCATGAGGAAGTAGAGGTAGCAAGGATAAGTTAAATGTTTTGGGAGTCTGGCAATGGGAGAAATACAGGACAATAGTTTGAAAGAAGAGTAGGATCAGCGAAGGGTATTTTAAGAATGAGGAGGGAATCAGTGCTTTTGATAGGCAGCAGAAAAAACCAGTAGATAGTGAGCAGTTGAAAGGGTTGAGGGAGTAGATAGGGAATGGTCAGTGGGCCAAGTTCCCAAAGGAAGTGGGCTTGAGGACACCAGTGGGGAAGGGAGCAGTGACAATGAGAGAAATTATAATTGATAACTCATGATTTGAGGAGATCCAGTTCCCCTCTTTTTCTAAAGACCTGATTTTTAAAAGTTCGGTCCCTTGAAGGACATTGCTAATGAATGGCCTAACTTTTTTGTTCAGACTCCACCCAGGTTGAGTAGCCATTGTGTGCTCAGGCTTGGATGGGGCATAAATTCTTTGATTTGCTCAAGGTGAAGGGTGGCCTGGGTAAAGAGACAGTCTCTCAGTCTACGTGACATGATGTCACTCTCAGCCCCTCATTGTAATATTCATTCTCTCATTAATTGTTAACCAATCAGAGTTGATTCCCACCCTGGGGAACACCTACTCTTCAAAGGATGTACAAACTGTGAACCTGCTACCTTGATTGTCTTTGGTCTAAGATAGACAGCCAAATGGCCATCCTTTTATTAATAAACATGATTAATAATAATTAATAAAATGATTAAATTACCCAGAAACCACGTCTCTCAAACCTTTTTAATTACCACAACAAGAAGGGCCAGCTTATCTTCTGAGACTGTAGGAAAGGAGGAAAGGATGGGTTATGCTCTAAGGTATGGAATAAGATGAATAGGAAAAGAGAAAGGACCATAGATTTAAAACTGGAAGGGATTTCAGGGGCCATCTAATCCCATGCTCTCATTTTCATAAATGAGGAAACTGAGGACTATAGGACAGGATTCTTAACCATTTTTGTGTCATGGATGGATCCCTTTGGAATTCTAGTGAAGGCTATGGACCCCTTCTCAGAATGTTTTTTAAATGCATAAAATAAAACATATAAAGATTACAAGGGAAACCAATTATGCTGATATACTGTTATCAAAATATTTTTTAAAACAAGTTCATACACCATAGGTCAAGAGATTAATTGACTTGCCCAAGATTACATAGGTAGTAAATATCAGATCTCAGCTTCAAAACCCACTTCCTCTGGCTCCAAATCTAATATTCTTTGCCCTAAACCATAAGGATTGCTGGAAATTTGAAAGGGAGTTTTAGAACAACTACTAGAGAGAGTGTTATGGGAAGCCAATCCGAGGTAATGCTAAACAGCAACAAGGGCTCAACTAAGGTTACATAATATGGATTTGTAGCAGACTATGCCATCATGATGTCACAGCTGCCTCCAGTAATGCTCAGCCACAAAGAAGTCACAATTTTTGTTCTTGTTCAGTAGTTTCAGTCATGTCTGACTCTCTGTGATCTCATTTGGGGTAGAGAAGGCAGACAAAAAATTGGCAGGGTGACTCACTGGAAGCATAGGCAGAGATTTTCTCCACAAGTCCTTTCCCTTCATGTTGCTCCATGGCCAATTCTCTATGAGAAAAAACAAAAGAGAAAACTCCTGTCATGGGGACAATCAAGAGTTGCCACATCATTTCAGCAAAGTAAAATACTTGTTCCACAGCAAGACATCAATGTGCACCCCCATCCCCCATAGAGCCAGAGCCCATGCTCCATGAAAGTGACCCTGTTTGCAAATAGATTTTACCATTCCTGAATAACAGGATGCAAGCATCAGCCACATAACAGGATATAGGAGCCATGACACAGGCACCAGGTGCTGCAGGACAATAGGATGCAGGAAAAGAAATGTGTACAATGACTACAATAATGTAAAGGAAGACAATTTTGAAAGACTTCAAAACTCTGATCAATGCAGCGATCAAATGACTTCAGAAGACTGAGGGTGAAGTATGCTTTTGACTGCTTGGCATAGAGATGATGGACTGGAGGTGCAGAATGAGATAACATTTACAGACACAATGGACAGAGTTGAGGGTTTTAACCATAGTTCTTGGTTACAAGGTATGTTTTCTGTTGGGAATTAGAGGGGAATGAAAAATTGGTACGTCATGAGAATGATGGGGGTAGGGAAAAGAAAAGAGCATTAATGAAACATTTTAAAAAAATAAACAGAAGAGAACTGAAGGAAGTTCAGAATGGGACACAGATAACCAGGGCAGTTTTGTTATTATCATGTAAAATGTAATATATACTTTCAGAAAATAATCTATAAATAACAGAAGTTTCATACCCAGTCTCCTTTCTGGTTTATTGAGATGTTCATATTTGTTGATGTTTAAGTTAATGAGAAAAAATTTTTTTAAAAAAATCATTCATTATCGGGCATCAGTGCTAATAACTCTATCCTTGGCCTGACTTAGCTCTAATCGGAAGATCTGCAAACTCTAAGCCTTGACAAGGAGACAAGCACAGTAAAATACTGGGCTTGTTCTTCAACATTATATTTGTTGTCCATTCATCTTTTCCCAATCATATTTATTCTTCTGAAATCAGCAAGGCAGACTAGATAGAAGAATGATTTGGGAATCAGAATGACCTAGCTTCCAATTTTGCCACTGACTTCTATTAGCTTTGTGCCCACAGGAAAGTCGTAAAATTTCTAAGTGCCCCAGGCAACTCTAAGACTTTAAGTTACAGAAGAGTTGCCAAGAAAAAATATATAATAAATACGCACATATGTATGTACATGTTTGCTCCTTATATTGGTGTTTATACGTCTAACATATTACTATCATTTTTCATTAATCTATTTTTGTTTTTGTTGAATTATTAGTAATTCCTCCTGATGTATTATATATGTATACATACACATATATAATTATGAATTATATCTCTTGGCAGTTTTTGCATTTATTCTAATGATGTTTCAACATTAATGTTTGTCATTTCATTCCTTAAATTTTTATATTGTAGAACTACTTTATTATATCCATGTTTTTCTTTGTTTTACTAAGTTTTCATTTTCTTGTTACAGCACCTAGAGGCACCTCTCCAAATCTGATATCTTCGGGGCATCTAGGTGGCTCAGTGGATAGAGCACCAGCCCTGGATTCAGGAGGACCTGAGTTCAAATATGACCTCAGACATATAACACTCACTAGTTATGTGACCCTGAACAAGTCACTTAACCCCATTGCCTAGCCAAAAAAAAAAAACCAAACAACAAAAACAAGAACAAATCTCATATCTTCTAGACAAGATTACCTCAGGTTTAAGGTATTCTGTGGGTCCATAGTCATTTAAAATCATACTATGTGAGCCCCCATCAATGTGTTTACTTTTACTTTATCAGGTAGAGGTCACAATAAATCCAAAGCAAAACTATTTTATGAAACAGGATGGTAGGAAAAATAGCAATAAAACATTTTGTCATAAATCTTGGATTTACTCTCCCACAAATACACATATTGTTTACGAGAAGAGGATACACATATAGGGCACGTGAAAAGACACACATGTAGAGAACATGTGTCTAGAACATACAAGCAGAAAATTTTTTTGTGTGCTTTGTATGTTCTGTACATGTCATTTCTGTTAGAAAGTAAACTCCTTAAAGGCATGGACAGTTTGACCTTTATCTTTGTATTCCTAGTACTCAGCATAATGCTTGACACATAATAGGTACAGGTAAGCCCAAGAGTCCCAGGAACAACAGTGCACCCCAGTGGAGTTTTCTTGGTGAAAATCCTGGAGTGGTTTGCCATTTTCTTCACTAGCTCATTTTACAGATGAGAAAACTGAGGTAAAACAGAGTTAAGTGACTTGCCCAAGGTCACACAGCTAAGAATTATCTGAGGCCAGATTGGAACTCAGGAAAATGAGTCTTCCTGACTCCAGGCCCAGTGATCTATCCACTTTAACACTTAGCCAATAATAATAGCTATAATACTAACCTCACCATCTTGTTGTGGGGATCAAAGTTCATGTATATGAGAGAGGTTCCCACTCTCTATCTCAACTAATATAATCACAGAAAATCCAGAATTTAATCATAAGGTGTTAAGTGTCAGGAAGAATAGATGTGGTTCCTTCTTAGTATTCCAGTTGTTACAGTCAAACATCATTTAAACATAGAAAACACAAAATGTAATCACAAAGTATATAATTGTAAAATACGTATTAAAATTTTTTCCTACAACCCCACAACAATGTAGTCACACAAGATTAAAGTTTAATGCATAAAAAAAAAAGATGAGTCTATACCCTGTGTGATGCCTTTATGAGGTGTGGACCTCTGGATCCAGAAAGGGTTGGCTAACCACAAGAGATTTAAATGCCTGGAAGAATTTCATTCATTTGCCAGTTGGAGAACTGGAGCCAGAATCTGAGAAAAAACCAGGTCACTAGAAAGGAGTTGCTCTCGGGAGAAGGAAATGGTTTTCTCTTCTCCCTTCCCTCCTCATCCATGTCATCTGAGAAACTAAGTGCCTGGTAGGAGTCAATGCTTCTGAATGGGCCTACAGAGGCATGCCAAAGAGAGGGAATCACTGAAGGGAGGAGGCACCTCTAGTGAGCATGAAGCCTTAAAGTGGAGAGAAGTGCCAGTCACGGATTCAAGAAAGAAGAGAGAATGTTCAAAATAAATAAATATTTGTAAATGAAAAAAAGAAAGAAGATCCTGAGAGCTATGCCAAGTGGCCCAACCAATAGAGAGCTACAGTCAGTCATTCAGCTGATAAACATTTATTAAATACCTACTGTGTTCCAGAGTAGAGCAGCTAGGTAGCACAGTGGATAGAGGCCCAGGCCTGGAGGCAGGAAGCCTCATCTTCCTGAGTTCAAATCTGGCCCCACACACTTCCTAGCTGTGTGACTCTGGGCAAGTCACTTGACCCTGTTGACCTCAGTTTCCTCATCTGTAAAATGAGCTGGTGAAGGAAACGACAAACCACTCCAGTATTTTTGCCAAGAAAACCCCAAATGGGGTCATGAAGAGCTGGACGCACCTGCAAAAGGACTGAACAACAACAGTGTGCCGAGCACTGTGTCACACCAAGTTCTGCATGCAGAAAATACAAAGAGAAAGGCCTTCCAGTACCAAGAGATGCTCTGTTTGGCATTCAAATGCCTTCCTAACCTAGCCACCCCCTACCTTCCCAGTCTTCTTATGCCTTACTTCCCAGCTTTCCTATTTATCTTGTAAATAGCTTGCTTTGTATATATTTGTTTACAAATTGTCTCCCCCATTAGATTGTAAGCTCCTTGAGGGAAGGAACTGTCTTTTGCCTCTTTTTGTATTCTAGCACTTAGCATAGAGCCTGGCACGTAGTAGGCACTTTATAAATATCAGTTGATTAATTGGGAGTTACCCATTGCCATGTTTATATCCTACAGGTATGCTTCATTATCAGTGTTCTTTACATTTGAACCTACTCTTTTCAAGATAGCTTCTTGTATTGTTGGGAGGACTCGCCCCCAGCTTTGGGGGTTACGGAGTATGGAATGATTTATATCAAAAGTTCTTACTATACCATCTTAGTGAATGAATTTGCTAAAAATCTAATTACTTCTACTGACTGAATGTTAAAGGGAGGTATGTTGGTGGGTTCTGGTGAGCTCCAGTGTTGGGAATGCCACCCCCTGGGGTAACCTATAGAACCTGTGAGAGAGTAGTGATCTTCGCACCCTCAACCGAGGGACCCAATCTGCCAATGTTAGTGTGGGCAGTAGCCCAGAGGTGCGGTTACATATGTAAAGTACTTTGCAAACCTTAAAGCACAATAAATGTCGATTATTAGTATTACCATGTTGGAACTTGTTTATTTCTTTAGCTGATCTTTTTTTCCTTTTCTGTGAGGCAGCTGGAGGATTTTTTGGAGGGGAGGTTATTCTTTTTTGTTTATGTGGCACATTTGTTGCTGCTTTTGAAGGTGTGAAGGGAAATTGGGTTCTTTTACAATTTTTCATTCCAAATAATTTATTTAGAGTTAGGTTAAATCACATTGCTGCAGTGAAAACCCTAAGCCTCTGGAGGATAATACCACGTAGGGGCTCTGATTTTTATATCTTGCCTAGAGCACACGAATGTGTTGATCCAGCTCTGCTTGCAAGCCAGCTCCTGCCTTATTCTCTTGTGCCAAAGCCGTTCCTGAATTTCTCGCACACACCAGGGCTCCTCCTGCTTGGCTTGCTTCATGATTATTGGTAGGATCAAATGAGGTAATATCTATAAAGCACACAGTCCGGCACATAGCAGGTGCTTAATAAATGCTTATTTTGTTCTTTTCTCTCCTAACTTGCTCCATCAAGATCAACTCCAGGGAAACTAATGAGGTTGCCATTGTGATGGGGTGCTAATGATGGACCCCTAAAAGACCCTGAAATTTCCCACTTCCCTGGCATTCGCCTGGGGCACCGGATCCTTCTTTGTTACCTCCCACTCACCCAAGCTCCAGGCAACTCCTCGACCACTGTATGTAAGAGTCCATCTTACCCCCATTAAAGTGCTCAGATTCCTTGAGAGTCTGGCCCGCCTGTTAATACAAATGGCACAAATGCTCAGATTCTTA